TCAAGGAGGTGGAGTTACCTGCTGTAGACGTTGTGAATGAAGTATTCAGAAGATGATCTATTCGGGATGAGGTACCTGGGGACAGAGAGATCGGAAGCGTGAGCGTAAGGGTTATCATAGGCACCTGGTGAGAAGGAGCATGGGCGGTCATTTTTGTGAGATGGACTAGGTGGAAGGCATGACTAAGTGCCCTACAAAAACCCGCACTTCGCCGATTTAGCTAGGTAGTAAAACCAACCCTCAGAAAAACATGATTTTTGATGTATTCCAAGTTTTGGGTAGTCTCTCCACACCGCCGTTAGTCCTTTGGAATAGATTCCTCCGTTTACTGCTTACCCCTGAATATATATTTTTTGTGAACGACTTTTCCCATCGAGGAAGAATTCTCTTCTGTAAATGTTTTGATTACTTGTATATATTACTTTGTTTAGGTGTTCTAGTTCTTAAGTGCCACGTGACGTGTCATCTATAGTTGGCGAAACTGGTGCTCAATGAACTCAGTCCCCTATTCCTTCGTTGTCTGAGTTTTTTTCTCCTGTTCCCCTTGGGCCCGCTGGCAATTTTGAAATAAAGATACGTCATTTCACACCCCGGGCACCTGGATGCTTTATGATTTTGATGCGAGTTATGAGCTTTTGAACACCGTTGGCCATTGCTGTTTCCCATTTCGTATTCATGCAAGAGACTGCCGCCTGAACCTGGCATTGTAAGTAGTCGGGCGTCGTTGGCTGACCTTGGAGCTCTTCCAGCAACACCACTCAGAGCATGGTGGAAACGCCACATGCATGCAACATGTGAGAATATTGCACTTCTTGCCAGCCAATCATCAAAAATCTTAAAGTCGTGTTTTGTCCGAACAGATTCTGACGATTCCGTGCTTCTCGGCCGCAGAAGAGTTGGTATGGGTGCACGCGGGTGGTCTGACACTGTACAGTTGTGCTTAACCTATTCGTTGGGACTCCAAGTCTCCAAATGGTAGCTTTTCATTTAAAGTCCTTTTTACCCTTTCATCCATAGTTTTGACTGTCGTTTATCAATTTGCTATCAGTCCATCACCGGCTTGCCCCCAGAGAAGCTGGCCGACGGGATGCGAGCCCAGAGGATCAGGGATTCCGAGTGGGGTTCTCGAATGTGATCACACGTCTTCGCGTGGAAGATCGTATGTACCGGAAGGGTGACCATGGAATAATACTGTGGGCAATACAGACAAGAGAGCTGTATCGGTTATGATGATGACGATAGGACCAACTCCCTAGAGTCTGCAGCTAGGCAAAGGCTATCTACGGGTGGCTGGCCCAAGCGCTGCACCCAGCACACATCCTGTGTGACGTGGCGAGGGGGTTATGGTTTCTCCGCAACGTGAGCACTTCGTCTCTTACCCTTTACTTTTTTTGATAATCGCATCTTTTCGGATTGTGGCGGAGGAATCTAGCGATATTTCCCTACGTGCACGACGACTGAATCTGACTATGACAGGACTCAACAAAGAAATACCACGCCACGGTGTTGAATCTTTCATGGATCGGCTTGCTGTAGGTATGATTATCCATACATGTAAATTATTATGGGCATACTAATTCCGGTTCCGATCAGGCTCTAATCTACCTAGCCCAGAGGCCTTCGTGATTCGAACACCGGTGGCCATCAACCCTATGCTGTGGACACAAAGTCTTCCGTTCAACCAGCCCTAGCCTTCAACTGTAAGTAAAGTTGAGAATTCTCATCGTTGCATTTTTTTATTGATATACAGCTTCTGTCTAGCTCTCGTAGGATTCTGTGTCCAATACAGACAAGAAGAGAGTTGTCCTGGTGATGATAACGGGACTAACTCCCAAATGATGCAGCTACGGAAGGGCTAACGTATTTCACCCCTATTCCGACACCCCTGTAAACCCCAACAATAACCACACCGCTATTTACATTATCCTTTTATTTCTCAACCACTTTTGCTTCAATTGACTTTATTCCAAGTATTCGATCTGATCTGCTATCAATGCCTTCATATACGGAAGAAGACCTCGCTGCCGCCGTTCTAGACGTCGCAAATGGTAAATCTGTGCGACGCGCTGGCCTGGATTGGGGTATACCAAGGACTACACTTATCGACAGACTTCAAGGCGCTGAATCAAGTCGCGAGGCCTCTGGCTATCTCCAGTGCAAGAAAAACACTTAGCAGACTGGGTTTTGGTCCAGGAAGCCCTTGGACTAGCCCCAACGCACGCGCAAATCAAGGAGCTCGCGCAGCGCGTCCTAGCCCTCAAAGGTGACCACCAACCACTCGGCAAGAATTGGCTGGAAGCCTTTCTAAAGCGTCAACCAGCACTAAAGACTAAAAAGCAACGCCGTATCGACTCTCAGCGTATCAATGGCGCGTCTACCGAGGTAATCCAAGCCTGGTTTGCTTCAAAATTACGTATTCCTGCAATTCAAGCGACTAAGCCGCAATGCAGGTATAATATGGATGAGCATGGCCTTATGGAGGGTCAAGGGGGCTCTGGGCTAGTTGTCGGGAGCGCTACCTTACGCGCAATACACCAGAAACAGCCTGGTTCGAGGGCGTGGACGTCAATTTTGGAATGTGTGGATGCCCTCGGCAATACCTTACCCCCCCTGGTTATTTTCAAGGGCAAGGGCGTCCAAGAGCAGTGGTTCACTGATAAAAATCTTCAGGACTTCAAGGACTGGCGCTTCAAGGCATCCCCCAAGGGCTGGACAGACGATACGATAGCTATCAAATGGCTTGAAGACGTTTTTGTACCCCTTACGCTTCCTCAGGACCCTTCAGACACTCGTTTACTTATTTTGGATGGTCACGGTAGTCACACAACTGATACTTTTATGTCTCTTTGCTATCAAAACAACATATACTTATTATTTTTACCCCCACACTCATCTCATGTCCTTCAGCCCCTCGATGTTGGGGTGTTCTCAGCTATGAAAACGGCATATCGCAAGGAGGTCGGGTTTTTAACCCTATTAACTGATTCAGCACCTATTGGCAAGCGGAATTTTATGCGCTGTTACACCAGAGCACGCCAGAGGGCCCTAACGGCTCAAAATATCAAGTCTGGTTGGCGTACAAGTGGTCTATGGCCCCTACATGTCGCTAGGCCCCTTACTAGCCCTCTTCTGCTTGAAAATAGCAACCGCACACGTCACCAAGGTCCAGACATTCTTATTACAACCCAGCAAGTCCAGAAAACGCTCCAGACGCCTTCAGAGGGCAATGTTGTATGGTCAACGCCAAAGAAGAGCGTAGATATAGAGCGCCAGTTTAGGGAGTTCAATCGACTCCAACAAACTAACATGACTACACAACGCCAGCTATTTAGAAAGATGAAAAAAGGGTTTGATGAGAAGGATTATCTATTAGTAAGCGCAGAATTACAAATTGAGGGCTTGAAACAGCGATTGGAGCTTATGAAGCCACGGAAAAAAAAGAAGGTGCAAATAAGTCCAAACGCGAAATTCGCAAGGATTGAGGACGTACGGCGGATGAGGGAGGTATCTAATGAAGCTCTTTTGATGATTCGGGTTCAGAAATATCTAATGTATCTACTGTCGAAAGCGATTGTATAGTTGTTCAGAATTGAATTTGTGGTGGTTGTTTGAAATTGCAGTGTTATTCGTGGTGTTTTGTTTTATAGGGTGTCGGAATGGGGGTGAAGTACGTTATACAGTTCCGACTTTCGCATAGGCTAGGTTCCGGTAAGCCACTGGAGCCCACTGGCCCTATAAAGCCTATAAATCCCTGTGGCTCATCTGCGCCTGATAAGTATATCATGGAAAACATCCCGGTTGATATTTGGTGTAATCACACTTATCCCAGCCCAATGCGAACGCGGCGCAGACATCCAATACAGCTAGATCACAAATATACACAATTGCTCGTCTAAAAGAAACAAGATAAATCAGTTTGAGATTAGTTACTTAGAAAACGAGCAGGTGATGTGTGAAAATATGCCAGTTGACCTGAGGTCTCAGAGATGAGGAACAGCAAAATTGACGCATGAGTTCCAACCTACTTGAGATGCAGCCGACATGATAATCTATTTGTGAGACCCTTGCTGCCGACTCTTTTCCAGGATGGCAGTGGATCTTGTCCCTAGGTTGGTTTTCCCCTAGTCCATATCGGATACTATGGCTAATTGTTCTGGTTCGCTGTATCGAAAGTTTCTCCCAGAAGTTTCATTTCGCAGCTGCTCAACTGGCACCTCATTCCGGTCGAATTAAGCCTGGCAAATACACTTAAATCAGATCCGATCTTTGTCGTTCGAGGCCCACAAAATGCCTGCCAAGAGGTATAACATCTGGCATGAGCTATATAATTCCGGTTGGATTGACGGTTGCAGTCTAGTTTTCACGTACACACCGTATTGGACTAGGATTAGTTCGGGAAGTGAAGTTTCTCGAGACGGCCCTTTCAGCATTCAATTAATAACGGTCTTGTCATGACTTGGGACAATTTCAATACATGTATGGAAACAGGCATATACTACTTGTAAAATGTCAACCAAAGAAATATAAGTGAAGAAGGGTTTCCTGGAGAACGTCTCTAAACTAAACTATTTTGTCCCCTCAGGTTTAACCAGATTGGTTGATTGATTGATTGATTGAAATTTAACGTCTCATCAGTGAGACGTGCCGGGCGTTTAACCAGATTGGTACTACAGCTATCAACAGTTGTTGCAGGATCACGTGTTGAATGATCACGTGACCTGGGTGCATTAAAGCTATATTTCTGCGAAAGATGCATCGCGATCAACACTTGCTTTTGCCCATCGCACTGAACAGGAATGTTAGATGAAGACAGTCCCCTGTAACATAGATTCGACTAGCATAGACCATGCCGGCACTGCGCCCGGCACGTCTCACGTGATGAGACGTTAAATTTCAATCAATCAATCAACACTTGCTTTTTCAATCTACTTCGGTTTAACACCTTTTCTGCAACAACAGTTGAGGCTGTACATATCTACGTAAACTGAACGTATATTGAATCAGATTAGGTAGTCTATATAGTCCGTCACATGTCGGACTTATTGGTTACAATAAAGCATGGGGGTAAAGCGAGCTCTGGAACACCCGTAATATTAAGTGAGCAGACTTGGCCAGAAGGACCTTGAATACGTCATGAAATGAGCAGGGTTTCCGGATTCAGTGTTGATATACATAGTGAACTGGAGATCCGTATCTTCCATTGCATATCCTCATTGGGGCCAGAAAAAGCGGTCAACCAACCCAATGGTTTGGAAAAGTTGGAAAAGAAGAAGATAATGGCAAGCTGGCTGTCAAGATCCGACATCATACTCCTGCTCATGAAACTAGCAGTAGCCAGGCGGAAAAGGATATCCCATATTGACACCTTTGAAAACAAAAACTTACACCAGCCAGGTATTAGATTACCGTTCCGTATTCGCTTCTCCGAGAACTGCGCAAGCGGATGCTTCTTGTTGAAAGCATACGACGCTCGCTCTTTACGCGACATCTTCATGATGTTGTGATGATCTCCGCCGATCTTGCCACTATCAGTTGCATGCTAATCCTTGAACTCTTTCAACTGCAGATAAACTGGGCAAGCGATTCGAATCCCAAAGCATGGAAGGAAAGGAAACGATAACTTATGCTGTTCTTCCACCTCCACTTATCCGCCTTGGTCTTACCAGAATACTCACTGATCTCGCCATGCTCCTCCTCCAACGCCTTACTATTTCTCTGATGCCGTAGTAATAGTGCGTTCGAGGTTGATATCGGCTTTCTTGGCATATACAACGATCTCTTTACGCCAAGCGAGCTCCTCATCGACACCGTAATCATCCAGCCCCTCCAACCATTCCAGGCACACCGACATGACGAGTCCTCGGACCTTGGTTGCAGAATCTGACTTGAGCATGCCGGACCGATCGAGGTCGTTCAACGCGCTCACAAAGGCTTTGCCGATGAGACCTACAGTGGCATTCATGCGATCGCCATCATCTATGGCCATCCAGGGGCCGGGCTCTTCGAGGTAGAGCCAATGCGCTATTGCGGCCACTGCGGCCCACAACTGATTTAAGACCTTCTCATCGCGGGTCTTCCTGAACTCGATGTCGAATACCGAGCTGATGTCTAATGTGAGCAACGGAACCAACGTAAGTAAGCTGACAAACGACTCACTTGGTTTTCGATAATATTCTGTAATCTATATCCATTGAATTCATTGTGTATGTACATGCCAAAGAAATCCGGACAGGTGTATGTCGCCGTTCGATGCCAATCAGGAATCATCATCCAACGCGTCCACATGGCGAACCATCAATGGTCTGGATGTCCGTAGCGGCTTCAAGGTGATGCTGTCTTTGCTGGCAATCTGCTCATCATATTGTGTCTGAAGTTCATCCTCATTGACTTGGTCGTCTTCGTCTTTGCCGTAGTCTCGTTCTCTACATCGAAGAAGGCGCGGTTGGTGGTGCAGTAGTCGAACGGCTCTCGGTTCTCGAACTCATCCTGCATGATGATACTAATGGTCACAAGAGTTGCTATGTGCTTGATCCACAGAGCCTACCTCCGAGTTGCCTTTGTCAGAGCCGAAAGTGCTTTTCTCGGCGTCATTGAACTTGCGACTCTTCTTCTCTCTGCCAGTCGGCTTCTGTGCGTCGGGAGTCCTTCTGAGACCGACTTCGTTTTGGGGGCATCTTGGAGGTACAGCACGGATAAGGGGATGTTTTATTTGAGTAGTTGAGAGTGTATGCTGTGAGATTTGCGCAATCTCCCAAACAGAGTCAGTGGGCATCCTCTTTTCCAATTGACTGCGTTGTCGAGTCTCTTCCCCACAAACTTCTAAAAGTTGTAGCGCGATTGAGATTTCTTGGAACTCAACGCGATCCTGTTACGCTAATAGCCCCGGCCCTAGAAGCTTTGAACCGTTGACGATCAGGGACCTGTTCCGGCCCCCAGTTCTGTTACAGTCCCACTCAGTGCTCTTTGCCACTGAGTCGATGGAGAATAATGCCTGGCGCCTCAAACACTGGAATATGGCAACCAGACACGATTTCGTGTTTGGTTTGGCACAATTTACCTACCTTTCGATCACTTATGTAAGCGTCGACTTTCCTGCTGAAAAGGGGCTGCTAAGGTCCCTTTCCACCTCGTTGGTTTACCTTTCGTATGAACTATTTCGCCCATTATGGCGACGAAAGTCTGCATAAATAGCTCAACCACCCTTGCTTATAGCTAATGATGGGTGCTCCAAGGAGATTTCGTACATCAATAAGGCATACGCTTACCAGTCACATCCCGCCACATCCAGAAATCCGCTAGCAGGAAAGCCAAATGGACAAAATCGTTTTCTGTTGCTGGTAGTCCACGTTTCGCTTTTAGTGAACTCGGTTGGTGCCGTTAATCGCAAATATGAGAAAATCAGCTTCTCGATACCACTGGGGAAGAAGCCGTCTGATTGCTCGGTAGTCTTAGGAAAGGATGGCCAGGTCAGCTATTCTGGCCTGGCAGAGCTCTTTTATAGCTCTTATCTCATTTTATCTATCTTATCTACAGCTACAGGGTAAACCCCCATGGGGTCACGTATCAATAGTATACTATACTTACTAGAAGGGACCGAACGACGAGTCGTGCTCACATAGAAACGCCGTCCACTGTATCAATAATCTATTCTATAATGTTTTGAAAGTCCTGTAACTTATAGTTACTTTTACCGTAAATAAATTGAAAAGTGAACTATGCTCGAATATGATAGCGAATAACCCCTCATTGCGCTTTCAAGATATCTACGGCGTTATGAACCAAGTCTTACCGAACGAACATATAATCAAATTAAAGCTAGCTTAGGATGGTATTCGTAATAGCTACTACTCTTGAAATGTCGCTAATATTCGATAATAGAAGATTAGTTGTCCAAATAAAGGGAGACTCTGAGTATCATGAAGCTATTGTAAAATGCTTTAGAAATTGTTATAGAGGACAACATGCTGACCCGTAACATCGCGACTAAATTTTGAGATTCCCGCTCGATTTTCTCTAGCTCGGTTCGTAGCCGTAGGCCAGAGTTCTAGGAGCCTTTCAAGGTTAGTAAGATGCAGGCTATTCCACGTAGCATTGGAAGCGCGACGAACCAAGTTATAATATCATGGAGGATTGTGATCTTCATTGAGCTAAGTTAACCTCCGTCAGGTGTAACGGTAGAATGTTACCTATCTAACTAGTGTACATTGTTACGGAGTAACTAGGGCTCCGCCAGTGGACTGTGTGCCACTAGTCCTCTGTTATAATATTTAAGCGTAGAACGACTTTGGCACGGTATTCTCCCAATTTCTTCTCTATAGTAGTTGAACTCTGTTTCAGTATGCCGTTCCATATTGCCTTGAAACTCTGCCACATTTTTGTCTTCTCTCTGACCAGTGCTTCTCGAGGATATGTCCGACTTTGTCAGATTATAGTTAGCCAGGGTTAGAAAAAGTTGGCCAGGGTCAGAAATTTTGTGGCGTAGTAAAGTTTGTCCCGTGGGTTGAGGCGCTTGTGGGGAGCAGGGAAAATGCCTTGGCATGTCACATTGACATCGTCGCATAGATGCAGGTTGTCGCTGATGTCGTGCAAATCGGCGAGCACATTGCTGATGCAGGCGTTCTCTGCCGTTGTTCTTGGTTTCGAGTTGTGCACACCTTATGTATCCCGCATTCAGTTGCAAGAGAACTCGATAAAGTTCAGGATGCCGGCGGCGAACCCGATCACTATCATAGGGTCCATGTCGAGATCCTTCGGAATTATGGAATCTGTCGGTACACGTCCCTAGGAACAAGTTGGGACGACTCGATGAGAAAGAGACTTGATGAGACAGAAACATTGCGAGGCTAACAGACAGGTCGCCACTGGACGGGTGGCTAATGCTGTAACGACGCCCGACGTAGTGGGCACGTCGTGCCGAATACATGCAGACGCATATGCAAGTGATTTGCGCCAGCCTATGCTTGGTTGATCAAATTCGCGGGTCGCATGTTGAGTGTTGATAGTCATCAAGTAGACGCCAAAGAGACTAACGTACCCCACAAGCAAGTTGGCCACTTTTTCTTGGCACCGTATGAATAACTTCAATAACTTAACTAAACTAAAAAATAATATTTCAAACTAATCGGAATCCTCTTCCTCGTACGTATCTTCATCATTCTCACAAGTACGAGCATTATGTCCGGGCTCTCCGCAGATCCTACAGCGCCGTCGGCGTGGTTCGGCCGGTCTCGTACGACAACTTACACGTATATCATCCTGTAGCTGCTGTTCAATATCCCCTTGAGACTGTAAGCCCTGAGCGTCTCGTAAACTAAGAAATCCTCCATCTTGTAGCTGTCGATTTTTAGTCCTTCGACGACGGCTTAGCTCTTGATTAGCCTTCCGAAGTGCAGTAACCTCATCCTCAAGTAAAACTAACCGGTGCATAACAGCCGTCGCACCATGTGAAAATTGGTCAATAGCCGTAAGTATTGTCGTCGGGGAGCTATTCTGATGCTGTACGATTCTGTTTTTTTAACGTATTCAGACTGGGATTGCGCCTCGGTTGGGTTATTTGGAGTCTTTGATTCCCAGATTAAGGGGGCGCCAGACGAGCTCCCAGGAGGTGTAGGCGTATGTAGCTTAATATCCAGCTGTGAAATCACATATTCCGGTTCGTACGGAATAAGTCCTGTCCCCCTGAAACCTGCCTGGATATTCGACTTAGTTATAGTCGTACGATACGCCCTATAGAATGCCGAAAAGAAATCCTCCTTCGAGATATGGGTTATATGCGCCCGTATCAGGTCTTCAATTTCTTTGCCGTATGACCTTCTCAAAGCTCTAAAACAGCCTACATTGAGAGGCTGGAGCTTATGTGACCAATGAGCAGGCATACTAAGTGTAATAATAGGATGCTCTTTGCAATATAGCTCGAAGTCAGTCGAGTGGTGGCTCTCATGCCCGTCGAGGATAAGAAGACGATGAACACCCTTCGTACGATCCTTCGTATAGCGATCAAAGTGCTAAATCCAGTCTACGCCTCGCTCATTTGTTGTGCAACCGTTTTTGGTTACAGCGATTACCCAATCGGACGGGAATGGACTATTCTCGTACCAGGATAAGAGGTGGTTTTGACCCGCGACAATAATATACGGCGGGATAGCCCAGCCGGACGAATTAATACCCTGGATTACTGTAGCCCATTCTCGATTGCCTTGTTGGACTGTACGAGGCCTTCCGCGTCGTTCGGCACTTGTAACTACCATCTCGGATGAGATTAAGCCCATCGCGAACCCTGTCTCGTCGAAGTTAGTTGGACAATATGGGCCCTGTGGGCCATGTGGGTCCTATACTTGCCACTATCGCCACCTAGAACGGCGACCATCCCCACATACCTCTATTACGAGAAATGTGGCGAGGATAGAACATTCCCTACTTATCTATATGCTTCTACAACTTGTCTGAATTAATCAGCAAGTCTACCATTCATTGACTATATAAGAACCCTTTTGTTTCCATACATAGACCCTCGAAGAGAGGACCAGAGTTAGCTACAATACAGACAGGTTAGGCATATGTGCCCTCCTTTTGCTCCTTCAACGGGAACATCAAATCCAAGTGTTATGAGCCCGGTGTGCGTTTAAGCCACTGGAAAACCTTCAAGACATTCTCGTCGATTATCTTTACATAGCAACATGGCTTCTCTCACTCTTTCCGGGAAACTGGACGAACCTTACCAGTACGAGGCCTTCTATTTCAGAGCCAAAGCAGAAGCCCCTCTACTTTGGAACAACATCGATCCGAAACTCCCTGAATACGAGGTCGTGCCCTTGCTAACCAAGCCACTGGTCCCGTCGGTTAGTAAGGTCAAGGCCGGCGCAACCGATATTTCCGACCTCGACGCCGTGGAATTCAACAAATATAGATTTCTAATCGAAATACGCAAGGAGAAGCTTGTTGAATATCAACTTCAGGATGCCCAAGCCCAGAAGTTCGACGCTTGGCTCTTTAACAACGTTGCGGATCGACACCACGCCCTATTCCGTAGCAAGCCAACCCTTCGCGATAAGATGTTAGCCATTAAGGAGTACTTTAAGCCAGGAAGCCAACAGTACAAAATGGAGGTCGATGGCCGCTTTCAGAAGCTATGCCAACCTCTATCCCAAGGGAAGAACATCCAGAGCTGGCTCTCTGAGTGGTGGACGACCTACCTCGAAGCAAGGGAGCTTGGCCTACCCTCCATATCAATGTACCACGCTCACTACGCCTTCGTTACTGCGGTGTACCCCGTAGCAAGCGACTTCGCAAGCAACTGGAAGCACGACATCGACAAGGAGCTCCAGAACCCACCAGCGAAGCAAATGGAAGTCGAGTCTATCTACAATGCCTTTGCAAACCACCTCCGTTGGAATAAAACCTTCGGAAACACATACCATACCATCTCAAGAGGCGCTCACGCAGCTACTCCTACCCTAGACGGAAAAGAGCCACCAGCAGCCTCTACAAACGACAAGTCACGTACATGCCTATGTGGTAGTCACCACCGGTATAGCGCCTGTTATTACCTTATCGAGAGCCTTCGCCCCACTGGATGGTCCCCGAACCCGGGCAAGCAGCGAGAGATAGAGGAAAAACTGAAGGATGAGAAGGTTAGAAAGTTGATCGAGAAAATCCAGCTACGAGCGGCCAAAAGAGCCAACAGCAGTAGCAATAACGAGAGCAACGATACCATACCAGGCAAGGCCTGAGGGTACGGCGCTGGCAACAACGCCAGCGCACCCACCAAGCAGTTAAATACTGTCAATACGATCCACGAGGTCTCTGCTTTTACTACAGGCCTCCAGGTAGACTATCCATTGAAACGATCAACCCTTTACGACACTGGAAGCAGCATCCATATATGCAACCAGCATTCCCGATTCAAGAAAATCAGAAGCGCGTCCCCTACAGACAAAATCATCAGTGGAGGTATTCTTCTAGATATCCTCTTATGGGGTGACGTCGAAATCCAAATACGACGACCAGGAGGAAAGTCTATGGTATTTACCCTCGAGAACGTCGCCTACGTCCCCGCCATGCATACAAACCTCGCCTCTGCTAGGTTGTTCAAGAAAGCCGGCATCTATTACGATATGGAACATGAAGCTTTGTATTACATTCGGGCAGGACATCGGAAAACCCTC